GCGTGACATGTGACGTGATGACGTGTGCTGTGACACGCAGCAGGGGCAGAGCGTGACGTGCACTGTGTCCGGGCTGTCCCACGTGCTGTGACACACACGTGCAGTGCGATGTGCCCCAGCTGTGCAGGGAGAGCTCCTGCACACACACCGGAGCCCCAGCCTGGCACGAGGGAAGCCCTGCAGCCTGTTCCTGCACCCGCAAGCCCACCCTGACACGTGAACCAAACGCACACGAGTGAGTTCCCAGCGCCAAGCAGCCAGCTGGACGGAACCACGGCCATCGCCCACGAACCCACCAGCTGCCCCCTGCTTGATGGAGCCTTGCTCTGAGGTGCTCCTGGCTGGTCACATCCAACATCAGTTTCGACTCCTCTGACATTGGCAGGGAATGCTTTTACTCTTTCTACCACTTTGTGCCCCACAGTGAAGCGCAAGCGTTGCAAACCACCAAAGGTTGCGTTTGCAGCTCAACAAGGCACACGTGGCCTGGCTCTGGGAGCAAAACCCATTCTCAACAGCATTTCACAACTTCCTAGAGCCACTGCAAGGCGATCACTGAGTGAATCATCACGCGCTGTGACTGCAGGCTGGAGCTGGGCACAGAAAAGGTCACAGCAGCTCCATCACGGAAAAATATACATTTACTTTACCCTACAAATTATCATAATCTACTGGCATGCCAGCTGAAACAATGGCAGGTTAGCATCATTCCCTTATATTCCAAATTGCCAATATAAGGTATCATGTAATATTGTAATTATACCCAGGGTTTTTGTTGTTGTTATTTTCTTTAACCGTGTCATGCACCCAGTAGACTTGCATTCCATTGGGTAATTCCTTAATTAGGCAGATTTTTGAAACAAGTATTATGTACACAACAGACCGGAACGTCTCCTTTGGAGTCTTCCCAGTCTATCAGGTGATTGCATCATTAAGCCACACATGCTACGTAGTAAAAATCCTTATGAAAATTCATGAAAGAAACACACTGAGCTTGGTGCATGCTAATAACCAAGAAACATACAAATTTAGTATTTTAACTTTTAATCCCACTAAACTCCAAACAATTACAAATGAAATAATTTCTTCACTGAATTTTATTTCTTTTTTTTCAGCTATCTAATA